TCAACAATGTTCAAGTACACATTCCTCCACTGGTTCTCATTCTCCACCACCAATGTTCCCAGTATCCCTCCCACCACTACCACCACCACTCCCTCCCTTTGTGTCAGGCACATTCCCTCTTACTTTCTCTGTCCTTTTGGATGTTATGTTTGCAATACAGATATCAAGAGGCCATCATGTTTTTCCATAATCTATTTTCAGGGGAGCAATAGCACAGCGGTAGGGCGTTTGCCTTGCACGCAGCCAACATGGCTGACCCAAGTTCGATTCCTCCGCCCCTCTCGGAGAGCCCGGCAAGCTACCGAGAGTATCTCGCCTGCATGGCAGATCCTGGCAAGCTCCCCGTGACGTATTCGATATGCCAAACACAGTAACAACAATGTCTCCAATGGAGACGTTACTGGGCCTGCTCGAGCAAATCGATGAATAACGGGAGGACCGTGACTGTGACTTTCAGCACCTATCTACTATCCCAAGCTATCCTCCATTTACTTAGTGCTCCTTCCTCCATCCTAGCTACCTTTTTCCCCAGTGCATTTTCCCAGCTTCCTGACCTTTATTTCTATTGTTCTTAGGTGTTAGTCTCCTATTGTGTTACTTTATATTCCACAAATGAGTGCAGTCATTCTATGTCTGTCCCTCTCTTTCAGACTCATTTCACTTAGCATGATACTCTCCATATAATACTACTTATATGAAATTTCATGATTTTATTTTTTCTAACAGCTACATAGTATTCCATTTTATAGATGTACCAAAGTTTGTTTAACCAGTCATCTGTTCTCAGGTACTGTTTTTTTTTTCCCACATTCTGTCTACTGTAAATAGTGTTGCCATAAACATACAAGTGCAGATGTCATTTCTACTGTACTTTTTTGCATCTTCGGGATATATTCCCAGAAATGGTGTTGCCAGATTAAATGGGGGATCGATTTCTAGTTTTTTAAGAAGGGCCCATATTGTTTTCCAAAAAGGCAGGACCAGTCTGCATTCCCACCAGCAGTGAAGAAGAGTCCCTTTTTCCCCACATCCATGCCAACACTGGTTGGTTTTGTTCTTTTGGATGTGTGCCAGTCTCTGTGGTGTAAGATGATATCTCATAGTTGTTTTGATCTGCATCTCCCTGGATCTAATCTTTATTTTTTAAAAAAAGATCATGCACCCTCACCATGTGTTTGGAGGGAAGAGACCTCCTAATGGTGTGGAACTGAGGTCACAGTGCTCAGGGCTATCCTAGTGCTGGAAGGCAGGAGAGAGTAGAGGATGCTGAGACTTAGATTCAGGGCCATGTGCATACTCGCTGTATGCTCTACCTCTTGAGTCACCTCCCCCTGACAATATCAAATGCAAACTCTTTTTTTTTCCCTTTTTGGATCATACCCAATGAGGTTCAGGGGTTACTCCTTACTCTGCAACTCTGCACTTAGGAATTACTCTTGTCAGTGCTCAGGGGGCCATAGGGAATGACAGAGATAGAACCTGGGTCAGCCGAGTTTCAAGGCTAATGCTCTACCCACTGTACTATTGCTCTGCTCCCCTCAAATGCAAATTCTTCGAGATACATATGTATCATATGCTGCTCCTTTACTTATGGAATTATTTATGTCTCAGGGCTCACTATGAAAGCATGGCTCTATTTTCTTTGAATTGGTCCCCCAGAGAATCAGTTGTTCTTAAATGGGTTGAAAAGCTCAAAGACTAATGGAGGTTAACTGGGGTGGATGTCTCCATTGCACACTCAATAAAAATAGAGTGGAATTATGCAAGTATGGAGATAAGCTAATCATCTGACCTAATCAGCAATGCAGATTTTCTAAAGCTTTTTAATTACTTCCTCAGCCTCAGTGAATGTATGGATAAAATGAGTTCCCCAGCATGGCAGTGGCAGATGTATTTCATAATATTTATTGAAAATATTGGAAAGAAAGTCACAATTATGATCTCCCTGAAAAGTACATCAGAAAAGATACCAAACTTAACATATTTTAAACTTTCACTAAGATAGAAACATATAGAAATAGATGCCTGTTATTTGGAATTTCTTACCCAGCTATACTTTATCTTTCAGAATCAGATTGCTTGTTGGTTGTCTTGTCTCGTCTTTGAGTTGGGTTACTTACCTGTTAGTTTTGACAACATGAAGCTACTGGAATATTCTCTTTTCTTGGGCTGTTGGTTAGCTTGGCATCTTGGCAAAGGAGTGCATGATGTTTCAACAACTTTAGATCTTAAATTGTTGACATATGTAACACCACACAATATGTGATCTGGAAGCCTAGATAAATCCAGTACTCATTGTTTTGGCATGGTTTACTTGCTGTGAAAATCTGTTAAGTGAATCATTCTGCGAGAAGATTACCCAAAAAGAAACCCTTAATTTCTTGTTCACATAGCTATAGCATTCCTGAGTCACGTGCTCCTTGGGTGCTTGACTATTTACTCATGTTTACCTTCAGTCAGTGAGTTGCTGAGTATCTTTCCAGGATATTCTGTTTAATAAGTCATTCTGAGACAGTTTTTGTACCTGAAAATAAAAATCCTTCTTAAATGATAGAAACTTCAGTGCCTTAGAGAGGTTCTCTAATGTTAGACATTTGAGGAACTGCTTTCCTTTCTCTCCAAAGAACTTCCCTATGCCCAGGGAATAGCTCAAAGGGTGGAATGTATGCACTGCATGAGTGAGATCCAGGGTTCATCCTCTGACCCCGGCGCATTATTCTCCAGTGCACACCTAACAGCCACCTCTGGGTACAGTCTGAGAGGTTCATAAGCATCCTCTGGCTACCCATGGTGATCCCTAGTACTTCCGGGTCCAAGTAGCATTGCATTTCCAGGACTAAGCATGGAATCTTCTAGCACAATTGGCCCTAAGGGTCTCTAAGAATTTCTTGGGCATCCTCCACAGAAAAATAGAATTTCTGATGGAAAGATAGTTAAGTGGGTAGGGCACTTGCCTTGCTTGCAGCTGACCTGGGTTCAATCCCTGGCACCTCTATGGTTTCCCAAGCTCTGTCAGGAGTGATCAAGTGCAGAGTCAGGTGCAGAGCCAAGAGTAATCCTGAGCACCACTGGGTGTGACCAAAAAACTATAAAGAAAGACAAATGAGAATTTTTCTAACTACCTTCTTAGTCTACTGAAAATTCTTCCTTGAGATCAGATATCAAGAGTCCATTTTTTTTTCTTTCCATGTAGAGACCAAAGAAAACGTGCGAAACATCTTAAGTTTCACTGCATAATTCCTGGCACTAGAGAGAGTCAGTATTGTATTTGGTGGTTGTAAGTACTGAGTCACATGAGAGTAACTTGTTTTCTTAGCAGACTGAGGCAGAAATTCTGGATAATCTAATGTAATTCAGTTGTCTACTAGTAACTTTAAAACTAGTTCAGTTGTACATTTATATATCCAAACTCTTAAAGCTCTAAATCCAAGTTTCTCACCCTAGATGCTGTGGGACTTTTTAGGTTAATTTATTTCTTGTGGGCACTAACCATCCAGTGTAACTTCCTTGGTTTCTGCCTCCCTAAATGACTAGCAACATCTTCTTTCCACAGGATGTGACAGATCAAAATGTCTCTTGGGAGGGGCAAAAATCACCCACATCAAAATTCACCCTCATCAGGGGCCACTATTTTAGATGACTTTAGTTATGTTCTCTTTCATTTTAACTGTCTTTTACCAACCAACCACTTCTGCTTTCCAAGGTACATTAAGTATGTTTCTACTTAAAGTCATAATGTTAGCTCTGTACACTGGTACACTAGGTTAAGCAGATAAATGTTTCTCTATAATCAGTTTCAGTAAGAATGTGCTAAATGGAAACATGAGAAATTGTCCTTTTGTGGCTAAAAATGGTAAAATATCAACCTCTCCTTGGGGTTCTGCCTAATGAATGTAGCACAGTAAAAGCAAACAAACAAATCAAAGAGCAAAATACTGAAAATACTAGTAGACCCAAATATCATGGTAACTGTGAGTTGAAGTATATTTTGCTTTTCTTTGTAAGCACTGTTTTCTGAGATCTTATATAAATGGACTTGAGGAACAATAATCAGATTGGAGCTGGCTGGGGTTGAAGTCATATATTAAAAATGCAATTTTGTAGCTAGTTGGAGGACTTTTCATTTAAAAGTTGCTTTTTTGTCCTTAAGGGCTGATGGAAATCCTAAGCAGTAGTTGCTACAACTGTACTTAGAATAAAAGGAGGGGGCAATGCAATGTAATTTTTTTAAATATGCATTGGGGTATTAAATATTGGCAGTAATCCTCTCGTTTGAAAGGATCTAATAGTCCAGCCAACAGGGGTCAAATCAGTGGGCTGTTCTTGCTTTAGTTAGTTCACAGTGAGAAAAGAAGCATATCTGGAAATGCATTTAAAATAAAAAAAGAAAATCAGAATGAAGATGAATCTTACTTCTAGCAGTTATATATGCATATTTAAAATGCAGCCCTTTCTCTCACTTTCTGTCCTTCAATGTCTACTCACAATAACAATGAACTGTGAGGCAGAAATTCTGGGGAGTAGGAAAGATAACTTGTTCTTGATGCTTATTATGAGAGCTAAGGACACATAAAATCAAGTCTGACCCCCATGCTCTGAACCTTCCAGAAGTACTAATGGACAGTGAAATGGTCAGAATGGTCATGACAAAAGAAGCAAGAAGGAGAAGGCGGAGGGTTGAACAGCAGCTCAGGAGCCACTTGGTCAGCTTCTGATTACTCAGGAGTTGCTAATATTGTGGGTTGTGTGGTTACTACTCGATCCCCTTCCCCTGAAATTGCTGGGAGTGAATGGAGGTCTGGAAATCAAAGGAACAAGGGACAAGAGTCAGTGGTCTCGGTTCACTTAAATGCATCACTTTCACTAACACCTGGGAGTTCGAAAGCATTCCATGTGTGTCGTGGACGCGGAAGAGACATTCCATGCTTGATGTTGGTCCAGGACAAGGTTAACTTTCTGCACACTAATTTTAATTCATTATATATGCCTTTTCTTCCCAGCACAAATGGACCCCCGAGGCCTATCTCCCAGACAAAGTAAAAGTGACAGTGATGATGATGACCTGCCAAATGTGACCTTAGATAGCGTTAATGAAACCGGATCTACGGCCCTTTCCATAGCCAGAGCAGTGCAAGAGTAAGTATCACCTTCTCAGGATGAAATAAGAATTGCCAAGGTGTTCTATGGATGATGGAAACAGCGGCCTCTCCTGTTCCCTCGACATGTCATTCTGCCTCGGAGTGGGCGCACCTGTCAGCTTCCTTCCATTTAGCCTCATGTTCATGGGGATGAGAGTAGGGGAAGCTGGGAGGCTTGACAGCTGGAAATTTGTGCTTTGATTTGAAGTAAGACTGCTGTGCATATCTCTCAAAACCTCCTGCCCCTCTGTCTTAATTCTGAAACAGAGTATATATTTTGTTCTTTTTCGACCGCCTCTACTCCATGATTGCTACTATCATTCAAGTAGAATCATCAAGATAAGTAAAGTCAGACAAGCATCTTATTGTCTTGTGTTGATAGGTCATTGTAGAATACAATTTTTTTTTTTCATTTGAAAGATAATACATTACCACTTTGGAAGATCAAAATTCAGTCTCTCTTTTCAACAGCACCATAGGGTTAGAGTTCTGCCTTTATTAAACATAGATATCATTGTCAATTTTTGTATCTAGAGGTAAGCTTGTGGGCTAGTACAGTAGCTTGGTCTCTGTAATAGATTTTAATAACATAGTCTAAAAGAAGTAAGAATTAAGTTAGCCACTGTTATGACTAACACCTATGTTAATAGTGATTTAGTTGACCCTCATAGATTCATTTTCCTCAGATACCAGCTACTGACTCTGCTCTATGAATTAAAACTTTGAAATAAAAAACACTAATGCAACATTTTAGAATTAAAGGCATATGAATATATATACAATGCATAATATAGTTTTAATGTAATGCATAAAAAACAAAGTATACACATGTATATGTATATATGTTTATATATACATACATACATATATATATATGATGGGCTGTAGTGATAGCATAGCGGGTAGGGCATTTGCCTTGCATGCAGCTGACCTGGGTTCGATTCTTCTGCCCCTCTTGGAGAGCCTGGCAAGCTACCGAGAGTATTCCGCCTGCACGGCAAAGCCTGGCAAGCTACCCGTGATGTATCTGATATACCAAAAAAAAAAAAATACTAGTAACAACAAGTCTCACAATGGAGACGTTACTGGTGCCCACTAGGAAATATCGATGAACAACAAGAGGACAGTGCAGGACAGTGCTATATAAATGATAGAGTAGAGGAAACAATGGATCTAAAGTAAAATTTGGAGTCTACAAGATATGGATTGAATTCACATTCAGCCTCTATAAAGCCATGTGGCTTTTGACAAGTTATTTAACCACTCTGAGCTGTTTCTTCATTCATAGTAAGAAAATAAGCATACTTGCAGGACTACCAAGAGTGTACAGTATAGCACCCACGTGTGGAAAGCAAGTCCCCAGGGCCTGGAGTTAGCTCAGAGGGTAACAGGGCATGTCTGGCATACATGACCATGGGTTCAATACCAGGCTCTCCCTGGCCTCCTATGCTCTGGTGGTATAGCTCTGCTGGCTCCAAAAATCAAAAACCAAGGTGCTGGAGGGGTCGTACAGTGGATAGGGCCCTTACCTTGCATGTAGCTGACCCAAGTTTGAACCCTGGAACCTCCTGCAGTTCCCCAAGTCATGCCAGAAGTAATCCCTGAGCTCAAAGCCAGGGCTCTTTCTACTGCCATGGGTAGCCTCCAAGCCAGAAAACAAACAAAATCAGAAAACAAGAGAAACAAGTCACAGAGTTAGTTCACACAGATGGTTCCAGGTAACGATGGAATTAGTGTTCTTCATGGTTTTAGTAATAATTATGGTGTAGTGTAAATAACTGAGTACAAATGCTGCTATAATCTTGTTATTCTTACTGTGTAAGTGTAGATAGCTAGGATTAAGAAATTAAACAACTTATCCAAAGACTTATACTAAATAGAACAATGTAGAGTTTAGAGCTTCCAACTTAAAAAACAGATCTTTGTCTAAGACTCCGATTAATGTCTTACAATGTCTTCTTAAACATAAACACTTAGAAATAAAGAACTTTATATGTTATTTGTTCAAATAACTGGTTGTAGTAACTTAGTTTCTTCAAAGCAAATGTTCCATTGAGCACTGTCTCAGGGATGCTACTGTAAAGCTTGTGTCAAATGATTTTATATGGTTCTCCCAGTATTCAGTGCTCAGCACAGATTGCTGTGACTGATGAATCCCATGGACGTTTTAATCATGTGTTCTCAGCACCATTGTAATACATAGACCATTTTCACGTATGTTTATGGAGGTATGTTTCTTTTAATTCAGAATTTAAATTTTGAAACTGATTACTAACACCAAAATCATGTTTCTTCTATTTGGGACTTCAATAGTCACTAATGATACTAAATTTCTCAACGTAGTCATGGTTTTTGCTTTAACAATTATAGGCTATTAATAGAACATGTTTAAATGTAGAACTTTTAAGAGCAAGCTCAGAAACTAGAGCTTTATTTTCTATGTAACCTCCGTGACTTATTTTGTGTAAACATTGTCAAGGCACCACACTTTGTATAACTGTATGTATGGCTGCCTTTATTACTTTTACAAAGGTTGCATGGGTGTCTAGGGAAATGCCAGATTCATTATTCATGGAAGTGTTTTCATTAAACGATTAGTAAAGAATACTGAGCTGTCACCTGGGAAGCCCTAGAACGCCAGGACCCATCAATAGTTAATTAACCATCATTCAAGACAGAGTGTGTGTGTGTGTGTGGGGTGTGTGTGTGTGTGTGTGTGTGTGTGTGTGTGTCTGTGTTTCAACAGTGGGAAGTGTTGAGGTACTGTTAGGTGAGACAAAACAAATGTTTAAGAGAGACCTCTAAAGCAGCAGTGACTTTCAACACATCCTGTACTATTTGGAGGAAATTTTTATTCTGGTTCAAATATAATCCTTGCTGGTGATTTAAAAAAAAATCTATTTTTAAATAACTTTAATGTTCAAATCTAGAGCTTATCTTTCTGCTCTTGGCCTTGATTCTAAATGCCTATTACTGTGTTGCTATTAATTTCTCCTTCTTCATTTTCTGTTTGCTTTGATGCCTGACTTCTGCCAAGCTTAAAGCAGCCCCCCTCCCCAATATCCAATGTAATAGGATCAATAAAATAATGTGTTCATAATAAAAGGGTGAAGTGACAGCTTGACTGATCCTGTAAAAGAGGAAAGGCTTTCAGAAGACTTCTGCTGATCTGTTTCCTACTCTCATTCACTTTATGTAAAGATGTTGAACTGAAAGGCAGAGTGATACTGAAATTACAAGCTGGTGTCCAATAGAGGCAGCTCATTAAAAAAAAAATCCTGAGAAAACTATGGATATTTGTCTTTCCAATAAAGACAGAGGAAATCTTGGTCTAGGAAGGATTCAAAGGCTTGGCTGTTGTTTCATTAACCATCAGTGAGGCCTTGAGAAAGGAGAGGATATGAGGAAGGTTGGCATTGTAGAGCGGGAGGGCAGGCTCGTGGGCTGAATCACAAAGTCCTTTGCAAACATCCATTCATTTTTGAACCCTGAGTGAACCCTTTATTTGAACCCTTTTTTTGCAAGGAAATGGAGACTACACTGCAGAGAAAAGTGGCAGTTGGCCAGTTCATTCAGAGTGACCCTTGATGGTAGCTCTTACTCCTTTCTCTAATGATGGGGTGAATGAAGTTAGGGCTACTTTCCTGAGGGGTCTTTCTCTGGAAAGTTCAGCCCATTTTCCCCAAATAGGGCCCCTATTCCTTTTCTATTCCTTACTGGCCAACTCAGATCTGTCGTGAAAGTCTCTGAGGGTGTGTGGGATAGGTGGGGTGAGTTGCTGGCTTGCAGCTGGGGATAACATGTAGGAGAGGCTGATCTAGCAGTTCTATGGGGATCCTTGGATGTTAAAGGAGATTGTAGATGAAGGAGTTGGGGCTGTCATGTTCTTAGAGAATGGAAAGCTTGGGGCCATCCCAGAATACTTCTTCTGTGGGTTGGTGTGCTGCAGTTAGAGGGCTGAGGCAAGGTCTACCCATATCCACACGCTATCTTTTCTGACTGGGACAAGGCTTCTCTGCCCTGAGTGTCACTGTTGTCCCTACCAGTACTACAGATAGAGGGAACTGTCTTGTGTTAGTCATCCTCGTCCCAACCAAGATTCTAACCCCTAGGGCAAATTTTTCAGCTAAACTCAATTGGTTCATAATCTTTTCCTAAGCAATAGCCATTAGAGTTTGAATTTTTAATTTGATAACTTATTGACAGTATATTTACATAGCATAAGCCTTGATGTGGTATTACGTGTCTTCCCCCAGAAACTTCTGGTATGATGCATTAATTTTTAAAAAGGTTTTTTTTTATTGATTCCTAGAATGAAAGAGGTTTTCATCTGATGCCTAAAGTTGTTAGCCAAAAATACACCCCCACCCCACCCCTGACATATACATACCTTCAAAATATTCAGATACTTTTTCTCTTCAAGTATAGAAAGAACAAGACCAGAGAGATAGTGCAGGGATTAAGAAATTTACAAAGGATGTGGGTCACATCAGCTGAGGCTCTGGTTCAAATCTCTGCTACCCTAATCTATGAGCCCCTGAGCGTTCCAAGGTGTGGCCCGAAAATCTGGGAATGAGGGAAGTGGGGGTGAGGTGGATGTAAGTAGGAAGGAATGAAAGAAGGAGGAGGGAAGAAGAGAGGGAGGGGGGAAGGGAGATGGGGGAGGAAGACAAAAGGGCTTGAGTGAGAGAGAGTACAGGGATTAACTTGCCTGCCATTAATTCCTGGTGCAACATGGTGTCCTGAGCACTGCCGGGAGTGATGCTAAGCAAAGAGCCAGGATTAGCTGCCATACCTGACCCACAGCAACTACAGAAAGTTGAGGTCACCAGAGTTTATATTGATTGCTATGGTCCGGCTACTGAATGGTGCCTGAATGGAGTAATCTTTGCAACTGTTTTCATCGATTTCCTTGATTCTCCTTTATCTGTTCACAAGTGAATTCAGTGAACTGGAAGAACCATGCACAGCACGGCATATGAGCAGGCCCGCCTGTTC